CAATCAAAAAGAATGAAATCTTGCCATTTGCAACTACATGGATGGAACTGGAGGATATTATGCTAAGTGAAATTAGTCAGAGAAAGATAAATATCATATGGCTTCATTCATATGAGGACTTTAAGACACAAAACAGATGAACACAAGGGAAGGAAAGTAAAATAATATAATAACAGGGAGAGGGACAAAACATAAGAGACTCTTAAATATGGAGAACAGAGGGTTACTGGTGGGGTTGTGGGAGGGGGGATGGGCTAAATGGATAAGGGGAATTAAGGAATCTACTCCTGAAATCATTGTTGCACTATATGCTAACTAACTTGGATATAAATTAAAAAAATAAAAAATAAATTCATCTTTAAAAACAAGAAACAAAACAAAACAAAATACCTAAAAGAAAGTAGCTCTCAGCCACTAATATTTAATATTTAAAAAAATCTTAAGTTGGACCCCTAAAAAGGTAAATTCATATTTGGGTTATTTGGTTCACTTCGATTGTGGATCTAAAAATCATAAATAATTTCTTAAGAATTTTGAAGGAGAAAGATGTGATTTAAAAATAACATTGTTAATGTTCTGTCTTAAAGGCTACCCTATGATGAACAGTTAGACATGCAAGAACACAGAAAAAAAGAAAATGTGATTTATTGTTTTAGTGAAACAGGGACTCTATCTTTCTGTTCTGCCATCCCTGGCATGTGGCTACCAGAAAAAGTTACAAGATGGCCAATGATGCTCCAGCCATCATAACAGTGTGCTTAGCAGGAAGAGGAAAAATGTAAGGGACAAAAACTGGCACTCCACCCAGTTGAGGTATTCCTCTTTATTTTTTTAAATTGTTTAAAAAGTTTATTTATTTTGAGAGAGTGAGAACATGTGGGGGACAGGCAGAGAGATGGGGGAGAGAATCCTCACTGACAGCACGGAACCCCTGAGGAGCGAGGCGGGGCTCAATCTCACTGACCCAAGTGACATCATGACCTGAGCCAAAATAAAGAGTTGGGCACTTAACCAACTGAGCCACCCAGGCGCCCCACCGCTTTTCTTTTGAATTATTCTTCTTTAATGAAGTGACAGGAAGTCTCACCACGAAAAAAAATATGCTCACATCTTACCTATGGGCTATCTAAGCTATAAGGGAAGTTGGGAGATGTAGTGTTTTTAGCTGGACACATTGCTGACCCCAACAAAATCGAGATTCTGTTACTAAGGACGAGAAGAATGGATAATGAGTGAACAACTAGCAGCTTCGAGAGCATTTGGTATCTTTGCCTGGCTCTTTCTGCCCCATCGTGCCCCCTTACCAAGGCTACAGGAACATCATGGGTTCTCGTCTCTTCCACTCTGGTTCCCCAGGAACTGCTGGCTCTCTCCATCCCTAAGAACAGATTCCTCACTTTGCAGCAGAGGGCAGCAGAAGCTGCTCATTGAAAGCCCTTTGGAGTTTTTCTGGGCTGGGATAAATTATGCTCTAGCAGGAGACCCTGGTGGACGGAGCATTAAGGCAGCAGCTCAGGAAGCACAACTGGAAAGGCAGAGGTAGAGGAGTCAAGTGGAGCTGCCAATCTCTTGCCTGATTAGAGGAATGGATGAATATTTATATCATGATGCAGTCTATGAGCCAACTCAGCTGTGTGAGGAGGCATTCAGCATGCAATGAGGACAAGAATGAAGTGTAGCACTAGAAAAACCAGGCTGTGCCACCCATTCTTCCATCCCTGCCAACCTGCCTACTTCTTATCCACTTACTGTTTCGTGTGGTCTTATGCTTATAATTGGAAGTATTCATCTTGTTTTCTGATTAATTCCCTAGATGCGCATATTTTAGCTTGAGCCCTACAATCCTTTGGTTTCTACCTCTTCTACCTGGCTTCCTGAGTTTTGACTCCTGCTGGACGTGATTTTCTTCTTACCTCATTCACTTTTGTTCCAAAACACTAGCTATAAGCCACTGCTCTGATGTTTTGTGTTTCCTAACTTAACATTTCCTCCCTAGACTATTTCCCCCTTCTTGGTGCATGTACAGCAATAAACACAAAGATACTATTTTGGGGGGTCAAGTATTAACTATCATGTTCTATTGCAAATAGCATTGCCCACTAAAATTATTAATGGCATTAGGTTATTTTACTTTAGATTCAACAGAAGACTCAATAGAAGAGGTAACTGCAGATCATCCAGAGGTTCTTTCTATAATAGAGGAGACTGTAAAAATGACAAAGGATATGAACTTTGAACATCCATATGAAAAACATGCTGAAATCCTAGAGGAAATCATCAAAGAGGTAAGAAATCCAGATCCAAACATTTATGCTTAGTAATTTTTAATTTCAACAACTATGCAATATAATTTCATAGCTTTGGAATTAATTCTTTATTGACTTTTGTTTAACTGAGTTCAGTTGGTTAAAATATGGTGCATAGGAAGCCAGTGCCAAAATAGATATTTCATCTATGAGCTAATTAGTTGTTAACCAAGACAAATTTTACTCCATAGCTAAATTATTTCATCCAACCACCTTGAACATGTGTTCATAGGGGAAATGGATGGACACACAAGTGATTTTCCAATCTAAGGGGAAAATGAAGCCTCAGATGCTTTGTCTTACTGATGGCAAACCAGGTTTATCTCTGGTTTATAAAGAACAAGATACCATTTGGGTCTGTTTTGTACAGGGACCTTGAGTAAGCATTCAGAGCAACAGGCAAAGACAACAAATCTGTTTTGGACTCTCAATGAATTTCTTTGGTATTTCTATGTAATTTGAAAGTGATATAATTAAATGTTGGGAGGAGGAAAAAAAATATTTTGAGAGTATAGCACCACTCTGTAACACACTGGGTAGGCTCCTTGAGTCCCAGACTGTACCCAGGATGAATTGCTGTCCCCCTCTGAGCTTCCCATAGAGATCTTTCAACTTCTTCTGCATGTCTTCAGGTTGTTTTGTCATCAACTGATTCCTTCAGAAACATTCTGACAGGGGTGCCTGGGTGGCTCAGTCGGTTAGGTGTCCAGCTCTTGATTTCAGCCCAGGTCATAATCTCATGGTTTGTGAGTTTGAGCCCCACATCGGGCTCTGCACTGACAGCACAGAGCCTGCTTGGGATTCTCTCTTTCCCTCTCTCTATTCCTCCCCCACTGTGCTCTCCCCCCTCCCAACGTCCAAATAAATAAATAAACTTAAAAAAATTTTTTAAAAAAGAAACATTCTGAGAACCTACTGCTTGCCCTTTAATATGCTAGATTCTAGGGCTATGAAGATGAATTAAACGCAACTCTTTAAGGAGCCATCAGTCAGGTGGGGAAGGCTGATGAAATGAGCTATCATGTACTAAGTGATAAATAGATATGTGCAAGGTGTAGGAATCCCACTAAGGTCAAGATGGTCATCTCTGCATGGAAGGTGAGACAGAGCATCCCAGAGGAGAGACATACAAGTGAAGCAGGTCTTTAGCATGATGGAAGCCCCATCCTGACCCTTCACGGAAAAATTTCTCCATTCTCTTCAGAGTTTATTCTGGAGGATACAAATCTACAGGAAGTACCAAAGCATTTCTGATATATATAGGAATGTATGTAGTGTCACTAGATGATAAACTGCCACTCTGGGATTGTGGAGGAGTTTAAGTCACATTAGATTTTTTTTTATTATTAATTATTTATTTATTTTATTTAAAAGAGAGAATGCATGAGCGCCAGTGGTGGGGAGGGGGCAGAGGGAGAGAGAGACAGAAAGAATCTTTTTTTTAACGTTTATTTTTCAGAGAGAGTGAGAGAGAGAACATGCACAAGCAGGAGAGGGGTAGAGAGAGAGAGAGGGAGACAAAGAATTCATAGTAAGCTCCAGGCTCTGAGCTGTCAGTGCAGAGCCCAACACGGGGCTCAGACTCACAAATCATGAGATCATGACCTAAGCCGAAGTCAGATGCTTATCCCACTGCACCATCCAGGTGTCCTGAGTGAGAGTCTTAAACAGGCTCCATGCTCAGTGTGGGTCTCGATCCCACAATGCTGGGATCATGATCTGACAGCAATGGACAGATCATCTAAGAAGAAAATCAACATAGAAACAACGGCTTTGAATGACGCACTGGGTCGGATGGACTTGACAGATATATTCAGAAAATTTCATCCTAAAGCAGTGGAATACCATTCTTCTCGAGTGCACATGCAATTCTCCAGAATAGATCACATCCAGGGACACAAATCAGCCCTCAACAAGTACAAAAAGATCGAGATCTTACCACGCATATTTTCAGACCACAACACTATGAAACGAAATCAACCACAAGAAAAATTTGGAAAGACAACAAATAGTTGGAAATTAAAGAACATCCTACTACAGAATAAATGGGTTAACCAAGAAGTTAAAGAGGAAATTAAAAAGTACATGGAAGCCAATGAAAATGATAACACCACAGTCCAAAACCTCTGGGATGCAACAAAGGCAGTCATAAGAGAGAGGTATATAGCAACCCAGGCCTTCCTAAAGAAGGAAAAAAAGTCTCAGATACACAACCTAACCTTACACCTTAAAGAGCTGGAAAAAGAACTGCAAATAAAACCCCAAACCAACAGAAGATGGGAAACAATAAAGATTAGAGCAGAAATCAATGCTATCGAAACCAAACAAAAACAAAAAATCAGTAGAACAGAGCAATGAAACCAGGAGCTGGTTCTTTGAAAGAATTAACAAAATTGATAAACCCCTAGCCAGTTTGATCAAAAAGAAAAAGGAAAGGACCCAAATAAATAAAATCAAAAATGAAAGAGAAGAGATCACAACCAACTGCAGAAATACAAACAATAATAAGAGAGTATTATGAGCAATTATATGCCAATAATTTGGGCAATCTGGAAGAAATGGACAAATCCCTAGAAACATACAAACTACCAAAACTGAAACAGGAAGAAATAGAAAATTTGTAGAGACCCAAAACCAGTAAAGAAATTGAATTAGTAATCAAAAATCTCCCTAAAAACAAGAGCCCAGGGTTGGATGGCTTTCCAGGGGAATTCTTCCAAACATTTAAAGAAGAGTTAATACCTATTCTTTTGAAACTATTCCAAAAAATAGAAATGAAAAGAAAACTTCCAAACTCATTCTATGAGGCCAGCATTACCTTGATTCTAAAACCAGACAAAGACCCCAGTAAAAAGAACTATAGACCAATTTCCCTGATGAACATGGATGCAAAAATTCTCAACAACATACTAGTCAACCGGATCCAACAATACATTGAAAGAATTATTCACCATTATAAAGTGGGATTTATACCTGGGATGCAGGGCTGGTTCAATATCTATAAATCAATCAATGTGATACATCACATTAATAAAGAAAGGACAAGAACCAGATGATCCTTTCAATAGATGCAGAGAGAGCATTTGACAAAATACAGCATCCTTTCTTGATAAAAACCTCAAGAAAGTGGGGATAGAAGGATCATATCTCAAGATCATAAAGGTTATATACGAAAGACCCACCACTAATATCCTCCATGGGGAAAAACTAAGAGCTTTCCCCCTAATGTCAGGAACATAACAGAGATGTTCACCCTCACCACTGTTATTCAACATAGTGTTGGAAGTCCTAACTTCAGCAATCAGACAATACAAAGAAATAAAAGGCATCCAAATCAGCAAGGAGAAAGTCAAACTTTCCCTCTTCACAGATGACATGATACTCTATATAGAAAACCCAAAAGATTCCACCAAAGAACTGCTAGATAAAACTGCCAATCCATGAATTCAGCAGTGGCAGGATATAAAATGAATGCACAGAAATTGGTTGCATTTCTATACACCAATAATGAAGCAGCAGAAAGAGAAATCAAGGAATCGATCCCATTTACAATTGTACCAAAAACCATAAAATACCTAGGAATAAATCTAACCAAAGAGGTGAAAAACTATACACTGAAAACTATACAGTATAGAAAGCTTATGAAAGAAATTGAAGAAGACACACAAAAAAATGGAAAATTATTCCATGCTCATGGATTGGAAGAACAAATATTGTTAAAATGTCGATACTACCCAAAGCAATCTACACCTTCAGTGCAATCCTTATCACAATAACACCAGCATTCTTTACAGAGCTAGAACAAACAATCCTAAAATGTGTATGGAACCAGAAAAGACCCTGAAAAGCCAAAGCAATCCTGAAAAAGAAAACCAGAGCTGGAAGTATCACAATCCCAGACTTCAAGCTATATTACAAAGTTGTAATCATCAAGATAGTATGGTACAGACAGAAAAACAGACACCTTGATCAATGGAACAGAATAGAGAACCCAGAAATGGATTTACAAACATATGGCCAACTAATCTTTGACAAAGCAGGAAAGAATATCCAATGGAATAAAGACAGTCTCCTCAGCAAATAGTGTTGGGAAAACTGGACAGCGACATGCAGGAGAATGAGCCTAGACCATTTTCTTACATCATACACAAAAATAAACTCAAAATAGATGAAAGACCTAAATGTAAGACAGGAAGCCATCAAAATCCTTGAAGAGAAAGCAGGCAAAAACCTCTTTGACCTCAGCCGCAGCAACTTCTTATTCAACATGTCTCTGGAGACAGGAAACAAAAGCAAAATGAAGTATTGGGACCTCATCAAAATAAAAAGCTTCTGCACAGCAAAGGAAACAATCAGCGAAACTAAAAGGCAAACAATGGAACGGGAGAAGATATTTGCAAATGACATATGGATAAAGGGTTAGTATCCAAAATCCATAAAAAAACTTATCAAACTCAACACCCAAAAAACAAATAATCCAGTGAAGAAATGGGCAAAAGACATGGACAGACACTTTTCCAAAGAAGACATGCAGATGGCCAACTGACACATGAAAAAATGCTCAACATCACTCATCATCAGGGAAATACAAATCAAAACCACAATAAGATACCACCTCACACCAGTCAGAATGGCTAAAATTAACAACTCAGGCAATGACAGATGTTGACAAGGATGCAGAGAAAGAGGAACCTTTTTGCACTGCTGGTAGAAATGCAAACTGGGGCAGCCACTCTGGAAAACAGTATGGAGGTTCCTCAAAAAATTAAAAATAGAAC